GTCATAGTTAGCCATCTTGTGAGCTTGATTCAGGCAGTTTTTCCCTTGAGAAGCCTTCCACCTATTTTATCACCTGTTTCCACTACAAGACGCTTTGATTTTTCTCACAGAAATCTCAAAGTGGACGCTTTCTCCCAACTTTTGTTGTCGTCATTTAGCAGGTGATGCTGAGCAGCAGCAGACTGTAAACAAGTGTTGTTACGGCCCACAGCTAATGTGAAACTACTCAATTAAAAAAAAAAGATAATGTATCAAAATAAATTGACAAACACTAAAACTAAGGATATTCTATCTATAATTTCAGTTAGTTTTGTAAAAAGATTACACAGTTTTAGTTAGTTATCGTTTTTCATTTTATTACAGTTTTTATTTATTTTAGTTAACTAAAATGTTTTTTCCATTTCAGTTTTTGTTATTTAGTTAGTTTTAGTTAAGTAGAATAGCCCTAGAATGTACCACATGATTTTAGGGAGCTTCTGGGTTTTTCCCTCCTCCGTTTCTCCTCTGACTCACCTGTGCTGCTCGGCCAGGCTCTTGGCCTTCCTCTCTCTTTTTCGCGCCTCTTCTGTTTCCTCCTGACTCTGTATCCTTGTCTGGCGTTCCTGCTGTTTACTGGCTTTCCAACYCTGAATAGCCTGGAAAACCACATTTTTTAAAAATGTTTAATATATTTAGCTTCACGCCAACTACAGTTTGTAATCATCTACAATAATTACAGGGATGCCTACCTCCCTCCTTTTGTTCTTTAAGCTGAGCAGTTCCTGATACCAGTCTTCGTGTTGCTCTATGTCCTCCAGAGTTATACCTGGCAAGTTCAGTTTGGCCTCTTTCCTGTAGGACGGCTGCCCGCTGTGCTTTGTCCAGACCTAAAATCCCAAAAATTTAAGTCAAACAACAATTTGTTAGGTTAAAGAATAAAAAAAAGGCTAACTGTGATTTGTGAGCTTACCTTTAGATAGGTTTGATGGTCAAATTGGTCCCAGCCTCCACACTGCCCACCTGTCCTCTGCAGGAAATCCTCCAAGGCTCTGTCCTCAGCAGGGAGGTCTCTGTCCTGCAGTTTGGTCTAATAATAACAGTAAATCTCTTTTTATTTTCTGACCGACAGCCAAAACATAAAACCCAGGCAGGAGGAAGTTCAGGACAGACGAACCTTGAGAGTGGAAGTTGTGAGTTTGGAGCTTGACTGAACAGAAAGATTCCAGTTTTCAATCTTCTTCTCGTAAGCACTGATTTCCTGCCTGCAAGTCCTCTCCTCCTTCAGATATTCCTCAAAGCTGCGGAAGAAAAACAAAACAAAACAGCATTTTACTTCTACACTTCTATTTGTCTTTTGAATTTCAATAACTGCAATCAAACCAATGAGTGTCACTGTCTGTAAATTACAACCTGTTTTTAACATGTTTGACTGTATATAATCTGGTGTAACAGTAAAAGTTCTGGTTTTCAACCTATATGGTATCATTATGCTAAAAATAATAAAGATCATGCAGTTAAGTCAACATTTTTTCAGGTTTTTCAGGCCAACTTGGTCTGAAGATGCTTGTGTCTTCTTACCACAAACYCTGCTCCTCCTTCAGGGTGTTTATTGAGATTTCCACCTCTGTCATGATTTCCTTCAGCTTTTCAATCACTAAAAACCCAAGCAGTAGCCTTGTTTTAATCTACAGCGACTTGTAATAAATATAAAAATCAATGATAAAATCTAAATGAACAGGATTAAATGCAAATTTTCACACTCAAAAAAAAAAAAAAACTTACACTCTGGAGTTGGCTTCACATCGATTAGATGTCCCTGAAATTTCCTCACTCCATTTTGAATCTTTATTAGCTGCTTTTGAAGATGTATTTCTAAAAAGAAAGGAACATTGCTTACAGCATGATTTATGTTAAATAGCTGAAAATGCCAGGTTGTTTCTGTGTTTAAGACAGTGGTTTGTGGACAGAGTTGTAAAGTAACTAAGTACAAATACTTCTTTACTGTACTTAAGTGGAATTTTTGGGCATCTGTACTTTACTTGAGTAGTTATTTTTCAGCCTACTTTTTTTACTTTTACTTCTTACATTTTCACAAAATTATCTGTACTTTCTACTCCATACATTTTTTTAAAAAGACAAGAAGTAGAAAGTCGTTACTTTTATTTCATTTTGGCTTGTTTTCATTGCAGCTTGTTATTGTAAAAATAAAAACTATCCATATAAATTGTGCCTCCTAGATATTTAATTGTGGTTGAATGAGAAGTATAAATGTGTAAAATTCTGATACCGTATTAGTTTGTACACAAACAAATCATGTCACACTCCAGCAGGACATAATCATTAAAATAAAAGTACTGTACTTAAGAAATATTTGTATTTCATGAATTATATTTTTGCATTTGGCCGCAGCCCTCAGGTAGATTTTCATTTTGGGGAAAATGTTTGGGCAGCCTTGATATATGTATATAAACTGAAACAGCTAGACTAGTGCATCCTAAATTTAACATAAATTAATTATTTTAATACGACAGTCATTTCTGCAATTTTTTGGGGAGGTCACCTCCTAATAAATGTTATTACAGAAAATCTAACTCCTCATTTTAAATCAATACTTTTAATACTTAAGTGCAAAAAATGTCAGATACTTTAAGACTTTTACTCAAGTAATATTCCTAAAGGAGACTTTAACTTTTACCAAAGTAATTTTTTGTAAGATCCTTGTACTTTTACTCAACTATCACTTTGTGGTACTTTATACAAAAATGTTTGTGGAAAAACCTATGACACGGTGCAGTATGTAAAATTTCCTGAGGTTGTATTTCCATCATTTGAAAACCTAGTGGAGACCATTACTCATTACGTCCTAGGATTAAAATAGGATGTGCATTCTGCTATAAGTGGTTGTGTATTGCTTTGCAAAAGAGTTCCTGGGAATGTCCTGATGCATCGCAGTAATCCAGGTAAAAAATCAAAAGGAAAAAAAATTGTATAGGTCCTCTGGACGGGTTCTTCTCTAATGAAACGTTTCGTCTCTCCTCCAAGAGACTTCTTCAGTCTGAGAGTTTCAGGCAAAATTCAGGCTTTTAAGCCCTGCCTCCAGGTGACTGATACTCACATCACATGGCTATCGTTAACACCTAATTAACACCTATTGTTAACAGGAGGTGGAGTGATACTGCCAATGGCAGCGCTGTAGGAGGGGGACAACTGAAAARGGAGGCCTCCACCTCTGTTTAATGATGGACGGTCTTTCTTCACAAAAATGGCTTCTTTTACTCCTCTCTCAAACTGGAACACAAGTTAGGAGTGATCAGGACTCTGTACCACAGAGCAGACAGTGTCCCTACAAACCCAGAAGCCAGGCAGAAAGAGAAATCACACACACGACAGGCCCTGGAGCAGTGTGGTTATCCTGACTGGGCTTTCCTGAAAGCAGACAGGAAACACAGACAGGACTCCATGCAACCTTCAGGTGAAAATGAAGACCCCAAACCCAGACCCAAACCAGTGGTTATTCCYTATGTTGCGGGTGTTTCGGAGAAACTGAGACGTTTATTTTCTAAACATGATGTCCCAGTGGCTTTCAAACCCCAAAACACATTACGGCAAAGGCTGGTTCACCCCAAAGATCCGGTGCCCCGGCACAAACAGAGCAATGTTGTATATGCTGTTAAGTGCCAGGAGGACTGCGACCAGTTATACATCGGGGAAACAAAGCAGCCACTGTTCAAAAGAATGTCCCAACACAGACGAGCTACATCTAATGGCCAGAACTCTGCAGTTTTCACTCATTTACAGGCCAGCGGTCACTCTTTCAGAGATGAGGATGTTCTCATTCTTGATAGAGAGGAACGRTGGTTTGAGAGAGGAGTAAAAGAAGCCATTTTTGTGAAAAAAGACCGTCCATCGTTAAACAGAGGTGGAGGCCTCCGCTTTCAGTTGTCCCCCTCCTACAACGCTGCCATTGCCAGTATCACTCCACCCCTTGTTAACAATAGGTGTTAATTAGGTGTCAACAATAGCCATGTGATGTGAGTATCAGTCACATGGAGGCAGGGCTTAAAAGACTGAATTTTGCCTGAAACTCTCAGACTGAAGAAGTCTCTTGGAGGAGAGACAAACGTTTCATTAAAGAAGAACCCGTCCAGAAGACCTATACAATTTTTTTTCTTTTTTGAGTTCCTGGGAAATGTAGGCATAAAGCAAAAATAAAAAATGAAAAACTCACGATGAGCTCTTCTTTCTTTCTCCAATACTTTTTCACATTCTTCCAGTTCGTCCCACACATCTGACCAGCCCTGCTTTTTGCACAATGTTTGCTCTTTCTCCAGCTTTTCAATCCTTGTGAAAGTAGGGCATATGGAAAGATGAGAAAAGCACCTAACTGTTGTGGGGTTTTTTTTTTTTACCTCTTCTTTTAGTCACTTTTAAGTAAAAGTACCAATGCATGCAGTTTTTCTTAGCTTCATCACTAAAGTGCTAGTATTTTTAGGTTTGAGCATGAAATAACAGCTTCACTCACTGCCTCCTTTTCTTCTCAGCCTCCCGGAGAAATTGCACAACTTTCTGCCCATCCAGCCTCTGATCCTCTCTGTCACTTCGGACTGGATTTGATGTGGTGGCTTGATAGACGCGAGACTCTCCATCACCCTTAGAAAAAAAAGATTGGAAAAGGTAAGACGTCAAGACAAGTAAGCATAAAAATTAACTACTTGAACTTTCGCTGCCTCGTCGTGTCCGATAATGGAAGACTACGCTCCTGCTTGATGGAGCGACTTCACAACGCAACACACACTGCATCCATTGTCGGACAAACACGTGCGGTACAAAAATAACATCMTTAATTTCAATTAAATAATCCAGATTAGTTACAATAAATATCACAGAGCAAGCACTTGATTCTATTTGTGACAACAAATAGTAGCATTGATTTGCTGATGTTTGTTACTAGCCGCTTAAGCTAGTTGCCATTTACATGATATTCACATTGCCTCTATATTTCAAACATTATATATTGTCTAAGATATGTCAAATACAGCAAAAAATGTTCTGTGATAGCTACCGAGCGCAGTTTCTCATCGCGTCCAGTGGTTGCTACGGCGGCCATGTTTAGGCGAATGTGTGAAACAAAACTTTATTTAAAAGAAACAACAACTCCTGCATTTGCAGAACTCAACCAGCAGGGGGCGCCACGTGCAGCCGAAGGAAAGCTGCGGGAAAAGATCATTAATAGACAATACGAATGAAACAGGTCGGTGCTGTTTATGTGTAGTTATCTGATTACATCACATAAGTAGAGGGAAGCAAACCTGGTGTAACCATAACAACAACAGACTCATTTGGCTGCATTAAATGTGGGAGGTTTTTTTCAAATCAAAGAATGTGTACAGAAATATAGTGCAAATAATAAAATGTGCTTATGAGAGTTTGAGCAAATAAAATAAAATAAACACTATTTAGAACGGTTCTGTCTTTCATCATTACTGAATATACTGTCCATCAGTTTTACTTTTATAATGGCTTTTTAAACAGAGCTTGTGCAAAGTGGAATTAACAGAAAAGGTTTGAGACGAATTAAATACGTTTTGTGCTTAAACCTCTATCCAAATGCGAGCAGGGAAACCACTGAGGAGGCAGAACTGAACAAAAAGGTTTGAGCAGCTGCTGCATCATGTTGGTATGAAGATTACAGAGCATGTTAATGGAGGCCCTGATAGGCTCACACAACTGTGATGAGCTGTCACCAGCTGATATCTGTTTACATTATTCATGGTTACATGACAACACAAAATGCACTGATTTATTCAAAGCTTCTTGTTTCCCTAATAGGTTTTTAATAACTTAATTGTGCCTATATTTTCATGATAAAATACTTGCTTTTTTAATCTGTTTAAAGTATTTTCTTCCCATCGAACACTGACTTCTTTTTTCTCAGCTACCGCATAATCGGGCTGAACTGCCATTATAATCCTCGGATTTGATTTTTCTTTTTATAACTCAGTTCCTGAAAGGATAAATCTGCGTCTAGATTCAGCTATTGTTAGAATCATCTACTCTTCTCATGTTCTCAGATAACTGCCAATGTGTTTCTGCGGAGGCCTTGATTATTCTTCTGCAACAGTTTTTTTTTTTTGCAAAGATGGCCAACAGCTATAATTAATACAAGAGCTGTCAGAGTGACAGGCAGAAAGAAAAGGGAGCAGCGAGAGAGCACAGGACGTATAAATAGTAACCTTAATTCATTATCGAGTGCAGATATTGGGAATGGTCTCTCCCAGGGGGGGCCGAGGCAGAGTTGTCGTTGCAACATAAATAGCAACTGTTCTCCCTGATGAAAAGTGTTACAATTTCCTGTCTTATCCTCAGCCAAGAGACTCACTTGGTTTGATGAAAGAAGGTCCTGCTGGTTGCTACAACAAAATCCTCAAAGAGGATGCCAAGGAAATCATCATTTTATGCAAAAATGCAACAAAAAAAAAGAATCAATCTTAAGTGAAATACAAATCCTTCCCTTGGAGATTAAAGTCATAATCTGACTTCTGTTTGCTTTTTCAAGACTTTTTCAACATTTGCTGTTTTCGTCACCTGTCAGTTTACTCGGTTACCATTAGTCAACTTTAACAGGTGGTTGCTCCACATCTGTCACATATTTATCACAGTAAAGGAAGTGTTTCGCTCTCTTATGCAAATGAAAATGTTAATGGGCAGCTTGGTCAAAGGAAACGCTGCATGCTTGACTTTCTTTCACAATGCTACGGAATCACTAAAGTTGCAGCAAGTAAAGTCAGAGCAGTTTTTTTTTTTTTTGCACATTATGAACCACTTGGTAGCATCATTTTAAAATGCACATGAAGCTGTGAGAGTGCATTACAGGTGCACGTGGCGCAGCAGGACCCAGAGGACCAGCATGTTCAAACACATAAAATAATTACAAGTATATAAACATAATTTATTAGTGCTGGACATTTAAATTCCAAGGATTTTTTTTATCATTACTGACTTTTAAAAATTCTGCTCTGTTCATGCATTTTTGCATGCAAAATTTTTACAACTGCTTTAAAAAAATGGGCAGATCAGGTCATGGTTCACGTTTTATAAAAAAAAAAAATCAAAATCTATATGTTAACATGCTGTTTTTTCACCAATGTTTACATTTACAGCATGATTTTTGACATTCACAGCACCTGAAACATGGTCATGATCATGGAGGAGTATAGAATAAATAATTCAAGATATTAATTAAACGTCTTTAGATAATGCTATTTAGATATTTAGGCAAACAACTATAGGAAAAACTTTGCTTAAAGCGGTTCAAACCTTCTGACCCTTTCTGCCATGAAAGACGTCATGTCTCATTCGTTACGTACTTTCCAGAAAGTTTCCTTAAAATGGCCTTTTTAAAAAAAAAAACACAAAGCCTGTTTCACAGCTTTTCTCAAAAACGTTCACCTGTTTTAGTTCTTGAACTCTTGCGCTGCGTTTATTATATTCTGTACCTCCATGGTTTTTACACCACAACACCTCAGGTTCAGTCAAATATCTGTGTCCCCCAAGAGGCCGGTAATATGAGAGAGAGAGAGAGAAAGAGAGAGAGAGAGAGAGAGAGAGAGAGAGAGAG